TTGACTGAGCTGGTGACTGAGGGGTATGCACCTGACCACACTACATTACAGTAAGTTACCTGAGGCATACACAAGGCATTGTATAGCATATTCAAGCATCTCCTCGGCAAGAAAAACTTTATTTTGTTTATTATACAAATAGATTTGGCTAGTTTTGAGCAGATGTTGTCTATGTGTGACCGAAAGGATAATTTCTGATCCAGAAAGACTCCCAAAAACTTGACTACTTTACTTTCAATGATGTCACAACCATTTATTACAATTTTGAAAGGTTCTTTATAATTTAAAAAATTTACTGGACCAAACACAATCATCTGAGTTTTTTTCATATTTATTGTTAACTTATTATTTTTAAACCAGTTGCTAATGTGCACAATTTCTACGTTAGTTTTTGCAATCAATTCATTAGTATCATCTGCAAAGCAGATATAATCAAAGTAAGTTGAAGAGTTTGGCAAGTCGTTTATGAAGATAACAAAAAGCAGGGGCCCCAAAATCGACCCTTGCGGCACCCCAAATTTATTGAGCACTATCGCTGATACTTCATTTTTCCATTTCACGAACTGATTTCGATTTGAAAGATAACTTTGTATCCATTTTAGTGTTGTGCCCTTATTCCATATTTTTCAAGTTTTCCCAGAAGTATCCTGTGGTCTATACAGTCAAATGCCTTGGTAAGATCTAAGCAAGTACCAACAACATAATTTTTATTTTCTGTCTCTCTCCCGATTTTACGAAGTAATTCTATAATAGCTAATTCTGTTGAATGGTTTTGTCTAAATCCAAATTGAGAATTCGTTAACAAATGATTTTTTTCTAAAAAAAGGATTAACCTGTTGTACATCAACTTTTCGATTATTTTAGAAAAAGCAGGTAATAGTGCGACGGGTCGATAATTCGTAAAATCTGATTTTCCTCTTTCCTTTGCTATGGGAATGATTTTAGCCGTTTTGAAACAAGAAGGAAATTGACCTGACATAAAAGACAGATTAATAAGATGTTCAAGCACATGTGCTGTTGATCGGATGGTAGCCATAACAATTTTACTAGGTATTTCATCCAGTCCAAAAGACGATTTTGCTTTGATTAGTTTTGCTGTAGTTATTAT